GGGTGGGTTTTTTTTCCCCCCAGGCTGTTCTTCATCTGAGGAGACTATGGATATCCAAATGAGTCACCAGAAAATATTTGAGACTTGATTTTCCTCTTCTTCTTTTTACCTTCATTTATTCTGTATATGTTCATAAGAGAATTTCTTACATTGGTCATATATAAAATGGTGTTGAGGCAGCAATTAATTTAATCTATTAAACATTGGAGACCTCTCAGATAGCAAACTTCTGTTAATTGAATGGGAAGGAAATACGCACCATCTAAACCATATAAGACAGCTGTGGATGTTTTTTTTTAATCTACATCAATGAATTTTATTTGCTGTATTCAGTATAAATAAGACAGATTTCCTTTTATGACATTATAAAAATAGTGGGAATCTCATGTAAGAAAATAAAGTTATCCATTACAAGAGAATATTTATATATATGGCTCAGGGTTGAACTAGGGAATCATTGATATTCTGACATTTAACTGACTGGCTTGTGATATCTGGGCCCCATTACACAACTATGTAACCTCTGTGTGAATAAATGTGAAATTTGCTTCCTGTTTATATACAGTAGTTTGCCCTGTCAGTTGGTGGTGTGTGTGTGTGTGTTTCTTGGCAGTTCTTTGATTGGAATATTGTTTTCTTCTTGATAGTTTGTCTGATATTAATCCCTATTTGTCTGGGTGTTGGCTTCGGAAGATGATCTTCTGGTCTTTTGTTTCTTACATTTTGTTTCTCTCTTTTGAATGGTATGTAGATGTGGTTTATAAGTCTGCTGATGGTTGATTTGTCTGAATGCTAAACTTCTAAGCATTTTTTAATTTGTTCTGGTTTATGATGCTAATAGTTTCCCAGTTTACACTACAGTTGAATCTATCTATATTGTGAGATTAAGGAGTTTTAATTGTGCCTTCTGACTGCTAATTGGAGTTTACGGATATGCTGTGCTAGTCTTCTGCATGTTATTCATAATGGCTATTATAGTCCTTACGCTGTAAGTTATAGATGACTCCTGTTTTAATTTTTTGTTCTTTCCTTCTTTTGGTTTACTTAAAATGTTTTGGAGGGCTTTAGTCAATGTAGTGCTATAGTGTATCCATGCAGTTGTAATAGTCTGTTGTTTTGGAAATGTTTTTGATATATGGTAATGTTTTCCTTTCCATAGCTTGTGCTGTTTGTGCTGCAGTGGATCAAATAGTCAGGCACTTTTTAATTAAGTTGTGCAGATATTCATTTTGTTAGAAGAGGTATAGGTGATCTGTTTCCTTCTTCTGTTGTTCTTGGTTGTTATAATGCATTTATACTTTTTTTTGAATACAGGTAGTCCTCAACTTACAACCACAATTGAGCCCCAAATTTATGTTGCTAAGTGAGAAATTTGTTAAGTGAGTTTTGCTCCATTTTACAACTTTACTTGCCACCGTTGTTAAATGAATCACTGCAGTTGGTAAATTATTGACACAGTTGTTAAGTGAATCTAGCTTCCACCTTGACTTTGCTTGTCAGAAAGTGGCAAAAGGTGAATCACGTGACCCCGGGACACTGCAACCGTCATAAATGTGAGTCAATTGTCAAGCATCTAAAATGTAAATCATGTGACCACAGGGGTGCTGCAATGGTCATAAGTGTGAAAAACCATCATAAATAACTTTTTTCAGTGCCATTGGAACTTTGAACGATCACTAAATGAACTATTGTAAGTTGAGGACTATCTGTAATGTTTTTACACAGCTCCTTGGGTGGGAAGTTAGGTTATTTTGGTAATGGTGCACTCGGTTAGCGTGCATTATGTTTTGATAGAAACACATTTCTAATTTGTTATCATTTTTTTTGCTGGTGAGGATATCCAGGAAGGGTAGTGTGTTGTTTTCTTGTTCCCTTGTGAATTTTATTCATTTGAAGATGTCTCCAGTTGGCGCTCTGTGGTCACAATAATGGTTGAGAAATAGCAATGCTTTGTTACCCTTAGTGCCAACAGATAATCCTTAGAAAGACTCTTACCTGTGTTCGGTTGAGTTCACTCTTCGTTTTACTTCAGTGGCATTCTAGGTATCTTTTATGCTTTATCACCCAGAGCTCCTCTGAAAACAAGAGCCCTCTCCCGGATCTTCAAGAATAGGAGTCTGCATAGGTGCCATCTAATTGAAGACCAGAATCTCCTCCTCATGGCAAATGGCAACAAAGGTCTCAGTTAAACCATGTAGCAGAGCCCCAGGAACAATTCCAAGCTTACTCTGGAATCCAGTAGGGTTTATCAGGTGCATGGGGTATTCAAATAGATCTGCCTCCCACAGGGAGATGCAGCACCAGAGAACTCCAAACCAATAAGGAATGATTTGTCTATGTCAAGGGACTGATGGTAACATCCCCCAACTCTAGATCATGTATTGATGCAACATAAAAGCCATGACAAACGTGTGACGTCCACAAGGAGCTGGGCCAGAAATAATTTGGGTAAGATCCATAGTTGCCATGGTGGTCGAGAATTTACAAGATATCTCTGAGTCCATGCCAGTTGAAGGGACAGCAGATTGAAGGAATTCCACTGCTTGTCTAGCCAGATTTGAGCAGTTCAGGTAGGAGGTTACTATCCAAGAGTGGTACATAAGCCAGAGTCTCTTCTCAGGCTATAACTGAGCCATGGTGGCGCAGTGGTTAGAATGCAGTAATGTAGGCTAATTTACTGTCAGGAATTTGATTCTGACCGGCTCAAAGTCGACTCACCCATCCATCCTTCCTCTATTTTACCCTTCCAGCCTTCCTCCATTTTACCAGGTTGGTAAAATGAAGACTCAGATTGTTGGCAATATGTTGACTCTGTAAGCCCCTTAGAGAGGGCTGTTAACCACTTTGAAGCGGTCCAGGTGCTATTGATGCTGCTGCTAGAATTCATCTTCACAAACAAGGCTGAGACACTTGGCAATCTGCAAAGCCATTAGGATGTCTCAGATAGTCATTGCCACATCTCTACTGTGATTCTGTGATTGTGACCGATGTAATGCAGGAAATCTGGCTGGGCACATCTCCAAGGGGGGAACATCTCACCCACACCTATGCCCAGGTAAGTTTCAACAATGGAAAGATCCACCCCTTCATCCAAAATAAATTTATGGATGAGACCAGCTTTATTACAGGCTGGCTGTGCATTCATCAGCAGCAGCCAGTCGGTCTCTAGACATGACTATCAGGCCATGGATCCTGCATAGAGGTAGGGCTGGAAAGTGATACTGATACTAACATCAAGGGTGAGTTCATGGTGAGATATTTGCATAATGACATTATATAAATGATACAAACATCATTTGTTTGCATAATCTCATTGCTTAAACGATATCTTTGCAAATGATGTGAATTATAGACACTCAAGAATAACACTCATACACTCCTCTTGTATCAATCACCATACTAAACTGTTGGGTTGATTTCTACAACCCTTTAGACTAAAGTGGGATTGGGTAGTTTGTGGGGGCAACACATAGAAATCCAGCTATTTTTATCGTATTAAGTGAAGGCAATTTCATAAAACCAGAATATGCTTTGTGTGTGGGGGGGGGGGGAGAGGACAGCATGGTATATTAACTCTATTAATCCAAGTTTAAAGTTTAGTATGTTATGCACATCTAGCTAATAGACTCTATAGAAAAGAATCCAAGTTGGATCAATAGTTACTTTTTAAAAATACCCAGGTCTGTCTTATGACCACTTGCTCCACTTATGCAACCTGTTCCCACTTCTGCATGTGTGGAATGTGGAATCTGTAGCAACCCTGCTAGCTAGATGATCCAGAGAGGTACAGTATGGCCAGAATGTGCAGAATGCATAGCCATGGTTGTCCATGGTGGAAGACTTGGAGATACAAATTACTTTCAACTAAAGGCTGAGACTTATCAAATTTGAAGCCATAACAAAGCGTTACTGATTTTAAGTACTGTATGTTGTTGCTCTTACACTCATTCACTCTTCTGCACACCCTCACATGCGCACATCCTAGGTTGACCAGGCACTAGCTAGAGGGAGGGAAGTCACCAAGCCCAAATCCCAAATGTTTCAAACAGCTGATGTGAACAAAATCCTTCCTAGTGGCCAAAGTTCCTGCTTTAGTGAACTGTAAAATTCATCAACAGTTAATGGAAAGGGCTTGCTTGCCCTCCAGGCATTTTTGCCTGATGACATTTCTATTAGGTGCACACATAAGAGTTTCCTTGTGGCAAAATGGGCAGCAAATAAATTTAATAAATAAAAATATTGTTTGGCTCTTAATGATTTGATTCTTTCTTAGCTATTTTCTGAAGGTGTGTTTTTGATAAGATTCCTGGTTTTGTCCTCTGTAAGCTCATATTTAGTCCAATTTAAGGTTATGGTTACAATTGTCAATTTTGGCCTGGTCAATATCCAGTGCTGGTATTTTAATGTCTTTCTCCAATGAGTGACTCCAATTGACTGTATTATGTATTGCAGTGGTTCTCATCCTGTGATTCGCGGACCCCTGGGGCCACAAGGTCACAAGGGGTCCATGAAGGCTTGAGAAAAAATTATGATTTAAATCTTGAGTTAAGTCTTGGGGGTCTGTGGTCATAAACGTTATTTAAAGGGAGTCAATGGTGAAGAAAAGATTGAGAATCACTGTTTTATTGTACTGTATTGTGTATTGGATATATAGTGGATTCAACAGGGTACTCTTGTAAGGAACTTCAGGACTAATGTTTTTGTATCATATGCAAGAGAAAAATACAATTATAGCCCCTAATGATCCCAATCTGTGAATCTCTGAACTACACCTTCTAAATGTATTGGATAACAATTTTGAGATTAGCTGATTTAACAAGATTCTTAATGACTTGCACTTTCTAAAGTACCGGTGAGGTATCAACAAGATGCCTTTTTTAAAGGAAATCTATGATTGGAGGTTTATTCATGAAACGCTGAAGAACATAGTTAAGAAATAAGACATGTCTCATATATCCCTCCCAACTCCTAGAAAAATGACAAAACCCTGATGCAAACAGTTTTGTGATAATTTTTTTTTTTATCTCTTTTGGAAAAAAAAATTATATACAAAAACCCAAGAATCAACATGGCAGGCATTCCAGCAAAAATACAGAGAGAAGTTCCATTTCTCAAAGGAAACACTATTGTGATTATGATCATGCTAGAAAAATGGGATGTAGCAGAAAATTTCTTGGACTGGGAGAGGGAGAGGATGAGATCAGCAAACTGGTCCTTTTTCATTTCCTTTGATTTGTTAACAATAAACCACAAAATGAAAATCAGTTTTCAATACAGATGTGTTACATTTTGATTCAGAAAATTAAGCCGGCATTACTTGGAGGAAGGAACACCCACATTTGGGGGGAATTCAACAGCTGCTGTAGGCATTGCATTTTATTTTAACAGATGCTAAGTTATATCTCTTCAGAAGAGTCCCTCTCTGAAAACAAGGAAAATTGTTGAAACACAAAGTCATTTTTGGCTGCCTTTTTCCTTGATGTTTCCATTTAACTCCTTGATAGCTTATCTTCCCAGGGAGCTGAGAAAAGGAAAAGCAGAGATAAGGTACCAAGTTTGACCAGTCTTCATCCTTGAACTGGCGTTCTAAATTTCTTTTAAATTTCCTTATGAATGAAGAGGGCCATTTCTGAGGAGGCACAACAATGATGCTTTTCACATGGTTCATATTTGACACACATAGTCAGCAACTGATTTCCTACTTGTGTCAACGTGAAAGGTATTACAATATATTAGCACCAGTGAAACTGAATCACAAATGTATTGCCTTAAGGCATCTTTCTGAGTTGCAAAATACGCTCAAATGTAGCAATGAAACATTTACACTCTTTCTATTACAAAACACCAATTGGTAACACAGTGATGGTTTCCAATTTTCGGGATCATTTTGGAGCCTTCTGTGAAGCACTGTATGAAATAACAGGATTTTGAGTGGCTCTAAAGAGATTAATATATTTGTTCCAAGGTTAAGTGCTACTTCCAAAGTTCATCATGTATTAGAAACGCATGCATATGTCACAAGAAAGCGATACATATATGTCTACAGCAAAAAAAATGCTCATTTGGTAGAATTCTGGTAAATGATTCAATGATTATGGCTACAAATTTTCCTACATGATTTTCATGCTTCTTAGGAAGAGACAGTTCTTAAGAAATTTAAAAGTATCACACTGAGGTGGATTTCAGCTTAGTGCAGGCCATTGTTCTTCGGCCTGGGACTGCAATAATACTGCAATAATACTTCATTCTCCTAAGTATCCCAACTTGTTCTTCTGTTCCTCAAATCTACTAAAAGGCTAATGATACAGTCTTTTGACTAACACTATGAATTCTTGATCCAATCTGCTAAACTATTAGTGCTAAACTGGATTCCGACTAAAAGCTGCAGTCATTTGTTCTTGTAGTTCAAGGCAATAATCTTAAGGATAGTGCACAAGAGGTGTGCATTCACACGCAGGCTTTCTCTATAATTTCCATCTTGCTAGTTGCTTTACATGAAGAAAATTTGCTTGAAGCAGACTCTACGAGACAACAAAAAGCTGCTAAGCAAGAGGTGTGAATTATGCACATTCAATGAAGACCTTGGGGCTAAGGAAACTAATCTTGAGTCAACAACCCAAAGATTACATACCATGAGCATAACCCCTTGGGACAATTTCCTGAGCAAGCTCCATAAAAAAAATTGGACTCCTGAAAAAAAGTTCAGGTATTTCCTGCTCTAGTCACAGTCACAATTATGGGGCTTGTATAAGAGGAATCAAAGTTTGCAAACAGACATGTTCTTAGTCTTGCTATGTTAAACCAGCATTCAAAGTACATATTTCTCATTATTGATAATCTAAAGGGCCAGATAGCAGTCATGCAGAGACAATTCTACAGTAACTTCTAGAAAACGAGTATGAATTCTGTAGAATTGCACTGCCAATGCTGAATCTGAACTCACTTACTGGAAGCATCATCTCTGGTAATAAAAAGGTAAAAAATGAATTAGTATTATAATTATCATTTAATTTATTGTATATAAAACAAAACAAAACAAAAAAGTTTGTGTGTACAAATATCACAAAACATCAACAATTCCCAAAGGTGTAGTGCCTCAGAACACTGTAATCAAAAAAGAGTTCATATTTTTTTGTCTTGTTTCTTTTTTGTTTTCATTTGTCTTAAATTCTGGCATAAATATATTAAAGCTGACAACAAGAAAAAAGAAAGTGGGTGGGAATTCCAGGGCAAGCTATATCACTTCCTCATACAAAAATGTACAAAACATTAGTTCCTAACTAGACATAACATAATAATACTGGTCATCACAGTTTGACAATTAGTATAACTGTGTATTCTGATGGGAGTACTGTAGCAGAGGGCAATAAAAAAATTCTCTTGATGTTGTTCAGATCAGGTTACTTCGGTCATAGAGGCAGAATGATTCTGCAGAACAAAGAGAGAAGAGACAGAATATGCTTTAGTATGCAGTGATGTAGTCACAGCAGTTGATCTTAGGACAAATAAGAAATAAGGTAGGGAAAGCACACAGAGTATGGTGTCTGGAATTGTTTTTAACCTGTTCAAAACATTTCTACCCTAGGACACATGACCAGAAAGGAAAAGGAAAGAGGCTTTAATGGAGGATCCATCAATTTTTTTTTAAGACACTGCCTAACTACCAGTTTCATAACTATTTATCAGGCTTTTTTACAATTTTTTTGAGAATTTCTCTCCTGTTTCAAACTCTTTCTGTTCTCTTTCCCCTCCAAATCCCAAACATAATTCCATTTTGTTCATTTTTGGAGCATTATCCTGCTGGTGGACTGGTGAAGAGACATTGATCTGATCCCCTTATTTATTTCCAACGTTCTGTTAGGTTGGAAGCAATAAGGCTGAAAAAATAATCCTTAATAAGTAGTTAAGTAGTCCTGCTAACACTTAATGACAGCCATTAAGCGAAGCATTCATGTGATTGCCCCATTTATGACCCATCGCTGGTCTTCTCGATGTGGTCATTAAACAAATGTGCGAGTTGTTAAGCAGAGCACATTCAGGGGCCCCGGGGGGGGAGGTCCTGAGATGTCTGGTGCAGGCTCTAACCCGGGATTCCATTTGGCTTCCCCCACCTCAACACATCCCATGCTCCTCTTCCTGCCCTGTTCCCACACTGGGCCTACTCTCCACCCCACCGGGCCCCACACCCTCCTTCTCACTTGCATTGCCAATTGTGTATCTACCTTCCAAAGAGTTCCAGAGCTTGTCTTAGGGAACCTTTGTTGTTGGGCTGTGCGGTGCGACCCCAGAAGCAGCCACCATTTTCTGAGAACCCTCAATTCAATGAGGCTATTTGGAAAATGGCGGCTGTTTCTGGAATCACATCACGCAACTCAACAACAAAGCACATTGTTTTGCTTAACAACCCATACAGTCCTTGCTTTACAATGACAACTGGGACTGCCAGAACAGCTGTCACTAAGCAGCACAGTTATGTGGCAACTTACAACTATGTCACTTAATGCAAGAGTTTCCAGGCTCAATTAGCATATTTAATGAGGTTCTACCCTGTTTTTTGGAGTTAATGGGAACTGGATTACAACACAATTCCCCATCCTGCTTTAAAAATACTTGTACAGGGCATAATATCTGAAGTAGTTCAAAGGCTCAAATATAATTGCCAAGAGTGGATACTTAGAAGGGTATTTGTTATTGAGCAGATTGTCCCAATTAAATGATTACCTTTAATCCAGAATGGATGAAACAGAATATAAAAATGCAGGATGGAAGGATTGGTGTAATGAAATATGGTGCTTCTAAACGGTTGCCTTTTTTATCCTGTTATTTATCCTGCTGAAAATGCTAAAAACATAAAAGCAAACCGACTACCAAGTTTATTTGTAATATAAAGAACTGAACTACTGAAAAAGAGTTAATCAAAAAGAGAAATGGATAAACAGAAGGTTATATGGTACCTGGGCACTCAACGTCTCCAAAGGACTTTCCACTCGTGGAAACGCCATCAAGGGCACGCCTCGCTGTTCATCTAGTTTTGATTTTGAAGGTGTCCCATGTGCTCCCTTGAAATTATGAACTACGCAGATGCCCTTGGGATCAGAAAGAGAAAAGAAGATTCCTGGAGCGATTATAATTACTAAAACCCAGAAGATATTCGCATGCATTTTGTGGCATGGACTTAAGTTTCTATCACTGAATGACATTCTTTTAAAAGGTAACAGTAAAGGTTCCCCTCACACATATGTGCTAGTCGTTCCCGACTCTAGGGGGCAGTGCTCCTCTCCGTTTCAAAGCCGAAGAGCCAACGCCATCTGAAGTCGTCTCCAGCATGATTAAGCTCTAAAGGCACACAGAATGCTGTTACCTTCCCACCAAAGGTGGTCCCTATTTTTCTACTTGCATTTTTTACATGCTTTCGAACTGCTAGGTTGGCAGAAGCTGGGAAAAGTAACGGGAGCTCACCCTGTTACACAGCACTAGGGATTCGAACCGCTGAACTGCCGACCTTTCAATCAACAAGCTCAGTGTCTTAGCCACTGAGCCATCGCATCCCTTCTTTTAGAGTGAGCCACCATGACTCACCATGACTCACTGAGCCACTGCGACATTCTTCATAATTCATTCATAAACTACCAATTTTATCTTGTTCATACTTTGCAACCAATTAAAAGCTTTTGTATATTCTAAAAGCATTCCATGTGTACTATATAATGTTGGCTCCTGCTGAGCAACATCTAGCAAAGGTGTTTACTGACTCTCAGGATCATTAACACTCTTTTTTCTAAAGCCACTGCTAAAATGTTTCAAAGCAGATTTATATTACAGCAATCCATGATCGTATCACATAATTCCCAGTCAGCGCTTTAGATAACAGTGCACAAACTTATGACTGAGATGAAAACAGAAGTAGCTATTTCATGGGACAGATGCTGTGGTGAGAAGTAAACCAGAGATGTTGGGAAGCAGAGTTTGCCACAAGTATAGCTGAGGCCGAAAACCACTGACCGACCACAGTTGTTGTAAAAGTCTGATCAATTTCTGTACAAATAATGGAAGCAGGAAGTATGATGCCCTTTGCTCTCTGGATGCAAATCGATCTTGAAAAAGACTTTTCTGTTTCCTTCAGCCTTGTATGAACAAGCTGGCCCAGTTTGGATACTGGCAGGGGAATTCTCCATATGAAAAAGATAGTAAAAGTTTATCCACCTACCAGGAAGAGTGCTACTGTGCTTCCCAAGATGAAGCCTGCAATGACATCTGAACAGTGGTTTCGATACTCAGAAACTCGGTTGAGCCCTGTAAGGAAGGCAGCACAAAGTGTCCCCAGACACAACACTGGCTTGGCAAGCCGACTGCTCTTTGTCTTGATTGTGCTAGTGATGTACATCTGAAATATCAACAGATTGACCTTAGTCACATCACCTAGTCCTCAACAATCCAGCACCAATCACCTCATATGATAGTCATCTGTATACAGGTAGCCCTTGACCTGCAACCGTTCAATTACTGACCATTCGAAGTTACAACGCCACTTAACAAGTGATTTATGCCTGTTTTGCACACTTATAACCATTGCAGCATCTCTCTGGTCACGTGATTAACATTTAGACATGTAGCAACCTATATTTACGACGAGTGTAGTGTCCCAGGATCATGTGACTCACCTTTTGCGACCTTCAGACAAGCAAACTCAATGGGGAACCCAGATCTGCTTAATAGCCTTGTTATTAACTTAACAACTGGAGTGATTCACTTAGCAACTGTGGCAAGAAAGGTCGTAAAATGTAGGGCAAAATTCACTTAACAACTGTCTCGCTTAGCAGCAGAAATTTTGGGCTCAATTGTGGTCGTAACTCGAGGACTACCTGTATTGGTATGTTACTGCAAAATGCAAGCTTCGAATCTTAGCCCCTATTCAGTTTTCTTAAGATTTTTTAAAAAGATTAAATCAATATGGCTATGCATGCTTCACAAATGATTCAGAAGAAATTATTTGAATCTTGCAGAGTAAAAACACAACATCCCACTTCTATTTTTTAAAGCTTATCTGGTTTTTCCCCCAGACTTTTGTAAGAAAGAGTCTAAAATATATATATTGACCCATTAAGAGTAGCCCCTTAAAGTTAATATGATTCTTAAAGGGTTATGAATAGGGTTAGGGTTTTTTGCTGGGTTGTGTTATTGGAACAAAAGGCACTACATAAGAGCTGCATCTGAATCATGTTTGAAATATTTGCAGCCTCTAAAATAGCTACATTAGATCCAGCAAAGTGAAAAGAGTCTAAAACTCATCAACATAATCACATGGTTGATACTATTCCTGAATTTCTGAGGTTGATATAGCAAATGATTTTAAATCCCGAAACCTGTCTTTTTGTCTGATCAACATTCTAAGTCAAAATGTGGTACAGAAAGGCATAAACAAGTAACAGTTCATTCTTCCACATAATAGATGAATATTCTTTGCTACTTTATCCCATTTCCGGCTTTCAAAAACTGCCATTATAATTTTTAGTGTAATTAATAAATGGCAGAAAATGAAGAATGTATAGTTTTTGTTGTTGTTTTTAAAAAAAGGCAAACTATCATGAAAGACAATGAAAGTGTAATTATAGGATGCAAGTTTTCTTTGTATTCACAACTATTCCTTCAACAGAACAGCAAAACCATGATAAAAAAAAATTGGCAGCACTGAGGACAAACTTAACACTAATTTTTGAGACTATAATTACAAGGGTGACATGAGTAGGCAGATACTGTAGCACTAAAATAAAAGTGATGGGCTAAATCAGCAAATACAATAGAAACGTCTCCAGCAATTTCTGCTTTCCAAAACACAGCCTGGCTTCATTAAGACCTCACTTCCCAAAATAGCATCATCCCAATAGCAGATGCTTTCCAAGTATCAAATGAGGCTTAATGAGATGCAAACTAAGGTTAGGCCAAGTTAGATCAATCTCATGGGGATACAAATAAAACTGTAAAAAAATTGGGGAATATAATTAATTAGACTGCTATAATTGTAGTTTGTTGAACAATCACGGTGGCCTAGTTCCCATAAAATGCTAAGCTCTAAACCATGATTTCAAAGTGCCAATGGCTGAGCTCATAGAAATACAACTGAGGCTTAGTGGACAATCAATTAAATATGAGTCAACAGTGTGTGGCAGCACCCAAAAATGCCAATGTAATCCTGGGCTGCATTAACAGAGGGATAGAATCAAGATCACATGAAGTTCTAGTACTATTGTGGCCCGCCAACGGCCTGTGCGGATCGTGGCTGATCCCGATGAAGAGGAGGCTGGTGTGATGTCGCGCCAGCAGCCTGCACAGCCAGCGCTTGCGTCGGACAGCGAGGAGGCTGAAAAGGATGTGATGCCAGAGGCAGAGACTCAACCAGGGCCTTCAGAACCTCCAGAGGCTCCTTCCAGTGGAGAGAGCGAAGTGGAGGAGCCTCTCCTCAATGCTCGGGCACACAGGGCTGCCAAAAGGCAGGAGTGGCTACTCAGGAGGAGGAGGTCTACTCGAGAGTAGGGCTTGAGGATAATTGGCCACTCCCTTAGCCTATTTAAATCACATGCAAATAGTGAGTTCTTGCTGGAAACAACTCGTATTTATAATCAGAGTATTTTGGTTTATCATATCTTGCTTTCTGGGCTGGTTGCCAACCTTTGTCGGTCTTGTTTATTCTTGCTACTTAATAAATTTGATAAGGACCGTTGGTGTGTGTCAGTATCCTCGGAAATCCAGAGCTGGGGCAGAACAAGTACTGCTTTACAAAGCCTTAATAAGACCACACTTGGAATTTCTGGTCACTCCAATATAAAAAGGATGTTGAGACTCTGGATTAGGGGGCTGCAGGCTAAAACATATGAAGAATGGTTTTGAAATTGGGTATGTCCAGTCTAATGAAAAGGACTAGGGGAGACATGATATCAGTGTTCCAATATTTGAGGGGCTCCTACAAAGATGAGGGAGGTCAAACTATTTTCCAGAACACCAAAAGGTAAGATGAGAAACAATGGATGGAGCCTAACCAAGGAGAGAAGCAACCTAGAACTAAAGAGAAATTTCCTAACAGTTAGAACTATTTACCAGTGGAACGGCTTTCCTTCAGAACTTGTAGGTGCTCCATCACTGCAGGCATTTAAGAAGACACTGGACAATCATTTATCTGAAATAGTATAGGGGCTCCTGCTCGAGCAGGAGGTTCGACTAGAAAACCTCCAATGTCTCTTCCAACTCTATTATTCTATGTTTACCAGTGTAGAATAAAGAGCTTCTTCAAAATAAGAAATATAATGAAAATCATTACTTTGCTTTGCTTATTGCAGCCAATCCATAAACACCCAAGGTACATATAAACTAGGTATATATTTTAAAATAAAATTCATCCTGATTTCAGAAAATGAACTAGTTTGTGGTGCATCCATTTAGCAGTTTATAAATACACACTTTCACCATCTGCTAGGTGACAGATAATTCTGTGAGCAAAGTGATTTTATTGGGCGTGTACATTGCTCTGGAGGGGATAGTAACAGTAATTACTTCTCAAATGCCCCCCCCCCCGTTAATTATACATCTCCACATTTCAAGGCTGAGTAAGCACAGCAGTCAGTCTCTCTCTTTCTCTCACACTCACAAACACTCGCAACACACACACAAACACCAAATCACAAAGTAGAATCACGGATGGCAGTAGCGCTGAGTAAAAGATAGCTCACAGCTTTGGTGAGCTATGTATCAATATTTTCTTTACTGCGAACGGTTTGAAATGTTTATAAAAAACCATGGGCCTTTCCAAGCAATCTCTTTTCATCACCTGCACAATGAGATTGAAAAAGATTAGAAAGGGATATTCGTAATTTATATTAGGTTTTCCTCACTCCCCTCTCCTGTTCCTTAACGTTCTTGCCTTTCCTCTGAGAAGCAAATTAAACAGACTCCACAGGGGAGTCAGAATGTAAAATGAGATAAGAACGTTTTACTCTCCTACTCTGCTGGAGCAGTTTTATGTTCCCCAATTGATGAAAATCATCAGTTTGCACACACATCATTGCTGTTCCTGCCATGCTAACTGCTCTTTCCTCATCATGTAAATTATTATTATTTTTTCCTTGGGGAGATGATGATTAAATACCAAGCTAACTGCAACAATCCAGATGACTGCTAGATAGCAGAAAAGAAATACAAAACACCATTAACTTTTTACAGGTAGTCTCAATTTATAACCACAATTGGAGCCAGAATTTCTGTTACTAACCAAGGCAGTTGTTAACTAAAGCCATGCCCGATTTTAATTTTTGTCACAGTGGTTAAGCAAATCGTGGCAGTTGTTAAATGAATCACACGTGATTGTTAAGTCAATCTGGCTTCCTCCATTGTCAAGCTATTCTCCAAAGCACCTGAGGGTAGGACAAGAAGCCATGGATGGAAACTAATCAAGGAGGAAAGCAACCTAGAACTAAGAAGAAGCTTCCTGATAGTTAGAAGAATTAATCAGTGGAACAAATTGCCTCCAGAAGTTGTAAATGCTCCAACATTGGAGGTTTTAAAGAAGAGATTGGAAAACCATTTGTCTGAAGTGATATAGGGTTTCCTGCCTAAACAGTGGGTTGGACTAGAAGACCTCCAAGGTCCCTTCCAACTCTGTTATTCTATTCTATTGACTTCGTTGGTTGGAAGCTGGCTGGGAAAGTCACAAATGGCAATCACATGACCAGTGTCTGCTGCAGCCATCATAAACACAACCCATTTGCCACGTACCCGAATTTTGATCATGTGATTGTGGGGATGCTGCAGCAGTTATAAATTTGAGGACTGGATTGTAAATCACTTTTTTCATTGTCACTGTAATATTGTAACAGTCAATAAATGGATGGTTGTAAATCAAGGACTACTACCTCGATTTACTGCCACCCAGCAGTTATTGAAATTTTTGCAACATAGATCGAAAAGGAGGTAGCTAAGAAAAAGTGCTCCTCCTTGGGAAGTCAATATATGAAGGTGAAGGAAGGGCAGTGAAGTTTGCAAACTTGGAAATGCTCAGCGAAGAATCAAATTGAACGGCAGAAACACAGAAATGAATTCTGAACAATTGAGCAGCAAGATGAATTTAACTATTAGGTCAGGAACTAGTACCTCATGAGAAGAACCTCATGAGTACACAGGGCACAAAAGTGTGAATTAACAGCTTATAAACTATGGTTCAATTTGTCATGAAATTGTTGTTTGTGTTATTACAAGCAATGCCCAGGGAAACTAAGCAACACAGTTCAAATAATTGTTAAACAGCCAAATAAATTTATAGCACTACAAGACCCAAGCTGAAGTAACGACCAATAGTTTGGACATATTTGTTTTCCCAAAGAATCAAATTTGTATAGCATGGATTTATCGAAAGCTTTTTGCAATGACAGCCAGATGCAATATTCGAAGGCAATATGCTGCTGAATCTTAGATGTTTCCACAACAAAGCAAAGAATATGGGAATCAAACAGAGGAAACATGTTACCCTAATATGGGGCGGGGGGTGGGGTGGGGGCAAATTTGATGCAAGAGGCCTGACTGTCATTTGATGGGACATGATTGGAACATACCCCTGGAAGATTACAGCTTATACATAAGGAACAGACTCAACAGGAAGGAAGGGAGCGTTGCATTTCTATGTAAAGAAAGCAGATGCCTGTGCAGAAATTCATAAATAAGAGCACAGAAATCCTGCTGAGAGCAATTGAGTAAGAATAAAAGAAGAGAGAAACAAAAGAGATACCATTGTGGGATTTGTGTAGACAGGCAGAAGATATACGGTAGATAAGGTCTTCTCAAGAAAGCAAAATTTTCAAAGAAACACATGATAGTAACAATGGGAGATTTTGTCCATCCTGACATTTGGTGCAAATTTAACTCTGTATTTTTGTCAGAAGATGGCTGAAATAACAAAGAGTTATCCTATTTTTCAGACTATAAGATGCACCGGAGTATAAGACACACCGGAGTATAAGACACACTGAGATTTCGAAGAGGTAAACAAGAAAAAAAAGTTTTTGCCCTCCCCTGCCCCAAGGAGCACTCTGCAGGCCTCCCAAACCCTCTGCGCATCCCGTTTTTGTGAAAAACGGGATGCGCAGAGCAGTGGTGGGTTCCAACCGGTGTTACCACCGCTTCTCTTCACGCATGTGCTTTGCGCGCGATTCACAAAAAAATGCCCAATTTTGGTCTCCCAACACCCCCCCCATCACGTTTTTGCCCTCCCCAGCCCTCAGGAGCACTCTGCAGGCCTCCCAAAACTTCTGTGTGCCACTTTTTGTGAAAAACGGGCCCGTTTTTGGCCTCCCAAACCCTCCACGCGTTGCGTTTTTGCCCTCCCCAGCCCACAGGAGCATTTTGCAGGCCTCCCGAACCCTCTGCACCAGTGGTGGGTTGCTCCCGGTTCGGTCCGGTTCTTGCAGAAGCGCACGCGCGGGTGAAACAAGGGCGCACACATGCTCCTGTTGCAAACCGGTAGCGGAGATAAGTAGAACCCAGCCTGCTCTGTGCATCCCGTTTTTGCGGGCTGTTGGTTTTATCTGTTAACTATGCATTTTTATATATATAGTAGATCGACAACAGGTCAAATGGGTTGGGTAAGCAGAGTTGTAGAAGTACATAAACTGTGTGTCTGTTTTGAAAGGGGAGGAAATTATTATTCTTGAAATATATTTATCAGTATTCAACTAGGGTGGACAGTTTATACATATGCTTTTTTATTTTTTATTTTTTGGGGCGGTCGTCTAGTTTTGCTTTGTTTTTGTATTTTCTTTTTTATCCTTTTTTGGAGTTTGTATTTTAATGTTTTGAATAAAAAAATAACAATTTATTGAAAAACAGGGAAGAAGTATGCTATTTTAGACTTAATTCTTATTAACAGGGAGGGATTATTTGAAGAAGTAAAAGTGATTGAAACTTTGAGAGAAAGTGACTCATTATCCTTCTATTTGTGATTTTAAGGGGAAGAGGAATAGAAAAGCTTTAGACATGTACAATGAAGTTTAGAATAGAGGACTCTGATGAATTCAGGCAGAAAGTAAGTTAGATCAAATCGCTTGGAATCCTGAAGAGGGCAATAATGCCTCAGGAGACCCAGACTGAATGTTCCCTCTGTCTTACCCCTTATCTCCTTCTGCTGCATAATTTGAATACCCATCCGTAACCCTTTCATTAGTTTTGGAAAATCTTCCTTTCATAAGCCACTTTTTTCAGTGCTGTTGTAACTTAGAACCATCACTAAACAAATTGTTGTATGTCGAGAACTACCTGTATGATTGTGATATGGTAGAGCCCGACAAGATTGGCATGGCAGATCTCTGTGATTCTGCATTTAGGCCTTAAGAGAAATGAGAGGGCATTAAAGAGTTAGAAATGATACATGAAGCACAGAACAAGCAAAATTAGAACCTCTTTATGTACTTACTGTAGCGTATAAGGCTGAATATATGCTTAAAGCAGCATGTTTGGATGGAAAAGACCTCCTCGCCTTCTCAATCACGTCTTGGTTGCCAGTGCAGATATTCCCATTGTTAACAAACTGGTGATGAGCTCGGCAGTCACTCCCAGTGTAGTTGGGTTTACACACAGTCAAGAAATAGGGTGCCAGGTTTCCCGTCACTACCTGGCCAGCATTTACAAATATGTTGGTAGCAAAAAGACCAAATGCAAATACTCCTGGGAGAAGAAAAAGGTAAAACAATAAGAAAAGTAGAATTATTATTCAGAACTGAAACACCATAGACGTGGAAGAAAAATAACAGCTTCTTTCCCCCTCCTGGGGGGAAAAAGGGGGGGGGAAGGAGAGTAAAATTTGCAATAGAACTACGGCAGGAAGAAAAAAAACCCTGAAGGTCAAGTCCAAACTACGTATGTGATGAATATCTGCAATCAAATCTCTTGAGATTTAAAAATAAGGATAAATGTAATTAAACCAAATGTGGAGGCTGCAAATTTTGGGGAAAAAAAAAACCCTATATATATATATGGAGACATTCAAACGTATTTGAGCCCTTCAAAGTGGCCTAATGTTATTTTATGTTAGTGTTGGCCACGGTCAAAGTATGGCTTTTGTTCAAATTAAGTGCACCAACTGCCTAGCACATATAAAGAATGAGAACCCAGCTTTTATTAATGTTCCGAAACATAATATGGATATGTATGTAGAGGAAAATGAAGAGAGAGATGGAGCGAGTCTTCTTCATGTAGTCAATTCAGAATTGTACTAATGAGGGCAGGGAAATGGTTAGGATCTAATGAAAATTCAGAACATTAGGATAGTTGAATATGCTATGATTAAATGAAGCATGGATAAGCCTTTTGGGATGGAAAGTTTATATAATCTCCATTTCTTTACTGGAAAATTGGAAAACACTTTCATTATAGAGCCGAGATGACGCAGTGGTTAGAGTGCAATACTGCAGGCTACTTCAGCTGACTGCTAGCTGCAGTTTGGCAGTTCAAATCTCACCGGCTCAAGGTTGACTCAGCCTTCCATCCTTTCCGAGGTGGGTAAAATGAGGACCCAGATTATTGGGGGCAATTATCCATCTGATAAACTCGCAAGATTCGTTTTTCTCGCCATGTACATGTATACATCTGAACTAGACTGTGTTATTTCTCTGTGTCATATAATATATGTGGGTATATGCATAATTTTGTATTTATTTATTTATTTTGTCATGGTTATGTAGTGTATATTAGATTATATAGTGTATATTAGAAGTGGAGACCCTTTGAGAGCTGTATGCAACGAAATTTCATTTTAATGTAAGCCGATTACTGTACATTCAAAGTGACAATAAAGTTATTCTAAATAAGATAAGGTAAGGTAAGGTAAGAACAGGACTCCCTTATATTGTGTTCAAACCTCTGCTGACTTAATGGACATAACTGTCCAGTTTTATTGACAGCAGTATGGAAACAGAATATCATGCCTTTTGTTTAGCAGGTTTTTCAAATTCCCACTTTATTCTACCACCTACAACCTAGTCTCGTGATGGCGAACCTATGGCATCAGAGAGTGTCCTCTCTATGGGCATGCAAGCCGTCGCCCCAGTTCAGCTCCGCTGTGCATGTATGTGCACCTCCCGCTGGCTAGCTGGTTGTCAGGTCTCTACTGTGCATGCGCAGGGGGTGGGGTGCATGTGGGGGGAGGGTGCATGCATCTGCGGGGGGCCACATGTGCATTGCATTTTGGGGGTTCAGGTGCATGTGCAAGCATTTGCGCACGCACGTGCACACTTTGGGCACTCGGTCTGGAAAAGGTTAGCCATCACTGACCTAGTCTATTTCCTGATAATTTTTCATTCATGTTCCGTGCTTAGTTTCCAAACCCCGATAAGCGGACCAGGTGCTGCCACTTGCTGTATCCATACTTACATTTCCATCTATGATCCTCCAAGGGCTGACTATGGCCACCTTTGTTTAATTTTCCATATCAGCTAAGTGCTGCCATTCTATGGGGCTTCTCCAGCATAAATGTACAGGTACTGAGAATCCACAGCTTCAACTATATGTTTAGCGATAGTTTGAGGTTACAACAGTGATGAAAAAGTAACTTTGCAACCAATGCTCACATTCACGGAGTCTCATGTTTGCCATTATACTTCAAGGTAGGCTGGCTGGGAACGCTGATTGTAGATGGACCTTTCTTCCCAGAGAGTGGAAGCTGAATCTAAAACTCTCTTTCTCGCACCCCTCCCCCCAGCAAATTGGCAGGCAGTTCCTCAGGTAAACTGAGGAGGAGGAAGAATGATTTTTGACAGCTTCTCGGAAGCCAGCAGGAAGTCAGAAATCACTCCCACTCCCACTGCTGCATCCAATCAGCTGGTGGCAAGACCTGCAAGTGAGCAGTGATTTGCTGCTTTGGAACCAAGGCTGAAATCTGAAATCTCTTCAACAGCAGTTGGCAAGGGAAGAATAGCACTTAGCAATAGCACTTAGACTTATATACCGCTTCACAGTGCTTTACAGCCCTCTCTAAGCGGTTTACGGAGTCAGCATATTGCCCTCAACAATCTGGGTCCTCATTTTACCCACCTCAGAAGGATGCAAGGCTGAGTCAACCTTGAGCCTGATGAGATTTGAACTGCCAAATTGCAGGCAGCCACCAGGCAGCAGAAATAGCCTGCAGTACTGCACTCCAACCACTGCACCACCGTGGCTCAAGAATAAAGGATGACTCGGATGCCTGCTGGTGAGATAGGCTGGATAGGGGATGCTGGCAGTCAACAGGGGTGTCTTCTTTTTCCCTGGAAGGAGGGGCTCTTGGGGATATACCAGGATGGGGAGCAGGGAGGGGTGCAGTTTTCCTCATGGTCTGTGACTCCCTTTGCCCCCCCCCCCCCCCCCCGCCAGCAAAATAATAGACAGTTCCTCAGGTCAGCCAAGGAGGAGGAGGAGTGATTTCTGATACTTCTTCCCAGCTTCCCATAAGCATTGTCAAGGGGGAAGTCAGAAGCTCCCATTCCGACTGTTTGTTGTTGGGTTTTTTTGCCAATCTGTGGTCATTCTGCTTCTGTTTAGGTAAAGAAATATCTCTGAAAAGAGGACACATGATGGCCACAAGTAGTTTATTTCCTAACTACGGTAGAGGTCATTCTAGCTACTACTGATAAGACCTGGCATTCAACAATATCTGGAGGCCTAGAGGTTTTCCAGCCCAGTGTTGATTTATTTATTATTCTAATAGTACAGGAATACGTCCATGGTATCAAGCTGGGTTCCTGGAGATTACCTTGATATGACCATGTAGTTTTCTTTGGCAACAAAATGAGAGTGGTTTCTTTTGATTTTTTTTCTCATAGCCCTTGTGATTTCCCATCCAACTTCTAAGCAGGTGTGACTATGCTTAACAATTCATGATCACTGACCTGAGCCTCTTCCGATTTTGTTTTGTATTCTCATATTAAGAGTAATAATGAATACTTCTCATATGATAAATAATCAATCTTCTTTAATTACATCAGATGCTTTATTTTTAAATCTCCATTATCAGGGGATTCTGCCTCTAAAACTGATCCACTTAAAGGAAGTGTTTTCCATCTAAGTAGCTACATATTTCAGAAGCTTATATAAAGATGAAAGCCATCTAAACGGAAGCAACTTTCACATTTAGCCCAGCATATCTAATCCTCTAACTACAAGAAATTAAAGAAGGCAGACAGAAAGAGAAAATACTTGGGATGTAGACTAATTGAAAGCAGAAGCTGCTTAAAAGCATATCGGCCAATAATAAACATTTAGTCATACATGCACAGCAGAAGTGCTTTTAGCAGAAGTCCTGCAGGTGAGATTGTTTGATTAGTTTAGACTTCAACATCAGAAAGCACTTCCTAAATTTTCTAATGGACTCTTTACCTCTTATCAATGCAATAGAGATTGCTTAAAATACATATTTTTAAACCATTAAAATGTGGGTGTTTTTTTAATTTCTCGCAAGTGATGTCTTTCGTTTTGATTACTTTATTCAAGAAAGAAGCAAGCTACCCTGTGAGACAGGAAATCTTAAGTTTTATTTTCATTTAAAATGGATACATGCAAGGAAGCCACTAATAAGACATTAATTCTACAACTCAGTTTCCTCTTGCAAGATGGGGATAACACTACTAGGCTGCTAATATGATTTAGATAATGCATATGAAGCACAGAGTGCGTGAAATGTGCTAACCCGATTCCTTGGACATAGTTCAGCCAGAAAATAAAGTATGTAATTATTTTGTTTTGCTCATGAGAACACAGGGAATAATCATAATGGATTGACAGGAGTCAAGAGTCCTATTGAAATAGCAAAAACTTCACTGCTGCCTAGATCCAAATTTCTCCCAATTTTTTCACAGAATTAGGACTTCAATCCGAATATCTTCACTGGAAGAACATGGAAGCTGGACCTTCCTAGCTCCTCCTCCTCTCTCAGAAACTTGCCCCTGTTCCCTACCAAGAGCAGTGCATGCAGCTGTGTTAACTGCTCTTATACAGGTAGTCCTCACCTTATAACAGTTCATTTAGTGACTGTTCAAAATTATGTCATTGAAAAAAAGTGACTTATGATAATTTTTCATACTTATAACTGTTGCAGTGTCCCTGCGGTCATGTGATCAAAATTCATACACTTGGCAATTGATTCCTATTTATGATGTTGCTGTGTCCCAAGATCATATTTTATGACCTTCTGACAAGCCAAGCCAATGTAGAAACCAGATTCACTTAACAACCATGTTGCTAACTTAGCAACTACTGTGATTCACTTAACTGTGGCAAGACAAGTTGTAAAATGGGGCAATATTCACTTAACAAATTAGTAATAGAAATTTTGAGCTCAATTGTGATCCTAAGTCAAGACTACCTGTATTTCATCTCTTCATGCAACTTCTGAAAGAAAACCACTATTTTTGTAATCTGTTTTTAGACGCTGCCTCTAGCTGGGAATTCTACTTCAAAAGCCACTGAAAATCACAACTGCTATGGGAAACTAATGGAAAATAAAAATGATGGTTGTCAGCCAAAAGTCATCAGAATGGCAGGTTAGTAGTTGGCCTCCCGTAATGAAATTGATTTCTTAGTTCTGAATGGAAAAAGAAGAAAATAGTTTTGCCTTTCTTTTGTCACAGGCCCTTTGAGAGAATCTGTCTCTGGCTATCAATCAAACTGTACAAGGCCTTCTATATCACTAAGCTTTATGAAATATGATTTGTTAGGTGTGAAATATTGTGCCAGAAAAATACCAAAAAAAGGAAAAAAAAGTCTAAAGAAAAAGACTTTCAAAAACTTGGAGCTAGTAAATTCTCTCTCTCCCTCCCTCCCCCACCCCCCCTCTCTCTCACACACACTTGTGTTTGTGCATAAAAATATATGAAATAGTTCAGCTTATTTTATTGTGCAAATGTGTTAATTATGCTTACCTATAAATCGGATGATTCTCCGAAGTAGTGGATTCAGATAACAGCATTCTCCTGTCAAAATGGTTTTCTCTTGGATAATTAAGCTTTCTCTGGTGGACTTGATGAAATACATAGATATCTCTCCAATAAAAATCTGTAAAAGGAAAGGGGAATGCTGAGAATCACAAAGACAAATGCATTGGTCACTGCTGAACTCCCCTTGATAACCGGAAACCATTCTCTGGAAAGGGATGTTAATCCATCCCACCCCTCCATTTCTTAACCTGATCTAACTCTATGGAAGCAGAGACAAGAACACTGATAGCGGACAACTGGTGGGAGTAGTAGAAAAGTCAGATAAATTGAGTTTTCACCTATTCTGGATGACCACCTCTGCATAAAGAGATTAATTAACCACTTACTACAGTTCACTAGCTTAGATCTGAAGCAACAGACTGAGTCTTTAATTCTCCAAAGGTTATATTCTATATATTACTAAAATTATGAATCCTGTAACTTTTAATTGGGCGGAATAGTGCATCATAGACAAAACATTTGGAACCAAGTTATCTTAAATGGGTTAACACAGGGGTCCCCAACCCCCGGTCTGTGGATCAGCACTGGGCCACAGCATGCCAAAAACCAGGCTGCACAAACAAGCGAAGCCCCATCCACATGCCCTCTCTGGTCCACAGGAAAACCTCTCTCCACAGAACAGGTCCCTGTTCCCAAAAGGTTGGGAGACACCTAACATACAGAATACATCAAAAATTTGGGACCCACGACTCCCTTGGAATTGAAATTTGGCAAAGTTTCTAAAACACTTTATGACATAAACATTATCATAAAGCAGTTTATGACATGATACAAAATATCATAAAGCATTTCCTGTGCTGGTGTTTGACTGTGGTATGCAGTACATCTTTGAATGTATCCCAATTTTTCAGTGAAGGAAGTGCTATGCCATTATAAGGAAATATCTCTGAAACGATGACCCAATAAGGGCACAAGTTATCTATTTAAATATCTAAAAGGTTAAATTTAAAAATAAGCCAAAAAAAATTGCAACCAAAGCAAATGACACTTTTTGAATCCTCCACTTGCTAATGTGAGGGGAGGCATATGCCTGATGATTTTCTACTTATATCAACTAAATTTATTTTATATTTTGCTAATCACCCTTAGTTGGGAGTAACAAAATTTTATTCTTTACAAGATGTATTTATTTTTTTGTTATTAGTACAATCAGTATAGGAACAGAACCTAGTAACAAATTAATAGGGGAAACTATTATATTTTTCTGTTTTTTAAAAAAATAATCCAATTTTTAATTTGTGTGCTGCTGAATCTCAGTTGGATGCAGGAAGACCTACGGAATAGGAAAGGTAGAAAAGGGAATATGGAACAGCTATACTAAAAGCAAAAATGGCAATAAATAAGCCTTGAAGATTATAAAGGCTATCAAATCCATTATGCAATAAACATACAATGTGGGCAAGGAATTAATCCTTCTGGTGCTCTTCTTTTTGGAAAGAGTTGTATTTCTGTTTTTATTGCTACTTCTCCCTCTTAGCTATGGTACATTTCTGTCAATAGGGCTTCTTGTATCTCTGACTCTATTTATTTTCCCAGGTTTTTTTTTTAAAGAAAAGCTCTGCTTCCTTCTCCCTTATTATTTCCCATTCTCTTCAACTTCTTTACTATTATTCATCTGAGTGCGGGTGGATGCAGGCACAGAACAAGACTTGATATTTTATAAAGATCTCTGATTTTTTTCTGCCAGGAAGGAAATTAACCACAGTTAGAGTACCTTTGAGGCAGACACAGAAACAGAATTTTCCCATTTGTGCTACCTGCAACTGGAGGCTTGAAAAAGACATCACCCAACCAATTTTTTATGTGATTTCCAGACATGTAATGATGCTGCTGGGTAGTTTGTTGCTAAAGTTTCCAAAAGATAGACTAGAATACTTTATTTAGCCAAGTGTGAATAGACACAAAAGGAATTTGTCTCTGATGCAGAAGCTCTCAGTGTCCATGCAAAGCAACTTAGTAATGATAGTCACAATAATTATACTACTACTAATAATGATAATCATAATAGAAAGAGTTGTACAACAGGAAGTCTCAAAGAAACCCCATTTCCAAATAAATGTCTATAGGAATGTTTATATTTAGCTAGTCTTGTCTTCTGTGCTGTCTCTTCTCTTCTAGCCACCTCTCTTCCTTCCAATCAGGTGCACCATCAATTCCTAACTGTTGCTTTCCTCAGGCTCTATTGGTTACTATTTATTTAGATTATATCTAGCCTTTCATTCATGAGATTCGTGTGGTGTACACATCTCTCTCTCCTACAATTTTTGCCCATGACAGACCTGCTGGGCTGAGAAAGAGCTAGCAAAATCACCCAGTGAGCTTCCATGCCTAAGGGCAGACTGGTCCCACTTTCTAGTCCAACATTTTAACCACAACACCAAATTTAGCTTTCCTAATTGTATACAAATTTTTAGTTGGCAAGTAGGACATATCCCTCACATGATGCTTTCTTCACCTCTTGAATCTCTGCAATTGAATCAGTTTGGGCACTTATTTTCAAGAAACACAACTACTGCTGGTGTTGCTAGAGATATAATAATCTACCAGTTTGACTGAAGCAGTGACATTAAGAATTTCGTTAGTAAGAAAGATTATTCAGGAGACTAGTGTAATGTAGCCATTATGGTATAGTACTGCATCAGGAAGACCCAAATACCAATTCATCCCCAGCCACAGAAAAGCACTAGATAACTTTGGGCCAGTCACTAGCATTGGCCTATCTCCCAGGCAGAAAAGTAACACAGGTAATACAGTAATACAGGTAGTCCTCAATTTATGACCAGAATTGAGCCCAGAATTTACATTGCTAAGTGAGAAATTTGTTGAGAGTTTTGCCCCATTTTATGACTTTTCTTGCCACAGCTGTTAAGTAAATCACTGCAGTTGTTAAATTAGTAGCACAGTTGTTAAGTAAATCTGAATTTCCCATTCACATTGTCAGAATATCACAAAAGATGATCAGATGACCCTGGGACACTGCAATCATCGTAAATATGAACCAGTTGTCAAACATCCAAATGTAAATCACATGACCTTGGGGATGCTGCAACGGTCATAAGTGTGAAAAATGGTCATAAGTTACTTTTTACAGTGCAGTTGTAACTTTGAATCATCACTAAATGAACTGTTGTTAAGTTGAGGACCACCTGTAGGTGTGCATAACCTACTTTGACTGTGCCTGCCATATATAACAATAAGTTCATGCTATCCAATTGTCCTGGAGTACAAAGCAAAAGAAAAGCACACTTTGGATTTCACCATCAAGCATATGAACATCAATTCCTGTTCTATCATTAACATGGCTTCAACCACCGGACAGAAAATTAGCAGGTAAAGGAAGCACGTTTTTACCGAATCAAAGAACTTCAAATATAAATCCCAGATGAAGGGGTGAATGAATTTACATGCAAGACATTAATTACTCCTGTATGTGGTGATCTAAGCTCCTTTGAAGAAATGTGGACTGCAAATCAGAAATCCTTGAAATGGGAATTTGGGTCATTCTGTACCTGCTGTACATTGATTGCATATTACATGGAAAATCCTTCATATACACTTTGGGTGCATGAAATATAGTGTGTCACAGAAGGATTTGGCGAATTAATTCCATGCACTGCATTTATGCACAAAAGTGATAAGACTGTTAACACTTAACACTGTTATTTCCCCAAGCACTGGGGCTGTGTGTTTAAGTATCAGTGTTAAAGGATCCTGCATATATCCCAATGCATTTACATAGGATGGGGAAAGTTAATTAGCTAAGGTTCTACTGCACAGGTGTCAAATCCGCAGCGTCATGTTGCCATCACGTGACGTATCGCAACATTTTTCCCCTTCAGGGAGCTGGGGTGGGCGTGGCCTGAGTGTGACACATCTGGCCCATGGGCTGCCAATTTGACAGTAGAACATATGGAAGAATCTCAGAGAGGGACAATAATAAGCATTTAATCTTTTTTTATAGCTGTCAGGGGCTGCCTGCCATGAAATGGCATAAAGGGCATATGAATGGTCATCTTTATTGAACAATCCTTGGGTGAATGTGGATAGCAAGAAAACACTCCTCAAATACCTTTCCAGATTATTTCCTTTAAAAAGACCTCTCTTTCTAGAAGCCTGTACACTTGTGACTACAAATGCACCTTTAAAAGCTCACAATACTTTTTCCCTACTAGCTTTCAATCTCTTTTGCAATACCTTCAGCAGATATCTCCTACTTTGGAACATTTTAGCAAGTGTGGTCTGAATATTTAACCTGCACATTAGTTCCGAGTTTTTGAAATTTTTATTTTATTTCTTTGAAAACAGGAGATGACATTAAAAAACCTTTTCCAGAAATGTGGATGGAAGAAAGTATGTCTGTAGCACTCTTCCTATCAACTAACCATATTGTACACAGTTGTGCACATCCTGTAAGGATGCTGGATTAAGACTTGTGAATTTGAATAAGAAGCTAAACTGAACCTATCCTATATGGACATATTCATCTAGTTGATGTGCTTAATACATGTTGCTTATTACTCTTCTGTTGAATCTCTCTTGCAGTGAATTTAAGGAAAAAAATTGCAAACAGGTATAATAACACGTATTCTGGTGGGAAGGATAAACAAACCAGGTTGCACAAAAGGAACTAGACAAACATGTCTCAGAAGCTTATTTGAAGCAGCGTTTTAAATTAAACTGGTGGCTGAATCTATTTGCTTTGTAGCACAAAGAAGCTAATGTCTCCCATGAAAAGAAAAGCAATCAGGACATTTTTTGGCATTTATCTCTTAATTAATAGTTTTCTTGGACTTGTGACAGCCTTCAATTATTTGGCATGGGAATTATATTGGAAAGATTTGGCAAACCAACATTTGATTTGCAAAAGGCATTTTTTTTTATTCGTTCATAAGCACTACTCAGCTGAAATATTTTTTAAAGCAGTTAGTTTTGCCTTCAGCATGTGACACTTCACACACCTTGCAAGATTCTCATTTTGCTTTTACTAAAAGCATAGTTTATTTATTTACTAAACTCCCCGAGAACTCATGGCGATAAACTCCAACACCAATCATTTACATCAAAGTGTGGTGGTTGATCTAAATGTGTGAAGCTGTTTACCCAGTGAGAAACACTTAGCTATTGCACTTCATCTGAGAAATATGTAACATGGGGTTTTGTCTTCCTGTGAAATCACATACACATAATTAATTAATTAGCAGGATAATTAATACCCCCAAAGGGATTATGATTACATGTCAATGTCTGTCAAGAGCTTTAGTTTAAAAATAAATAAAGAAAGATGCCTTGAAGTTATGCTGGACTCCTCATGACTATACTGACATTTACGGAGTTAGATAAAAATCATGAGGGTGGAAAAAGGAATAGAATCTCTTCTCTGGGAAGTCATCAATCAACAATCCAATAAAGGATCTTTAAAATATGCATATACATATATATTTACTATATTCAATCTACTTACAATTGCTGTTGGGGTTGCAGCCAGTACACAGTAGAGGATAAGAGGGGAAATGAAGCTTTCGTCCTCTGTTCCTGGATATGGTTTCATCAAATTGCTGTCTTGGCAGAAGAAGCCTTGAATATGCACCTGGAAAGTGTCCGTGCACTCGAAGTAGTAGGCGAGCAAGACCGTCCCAGCCATAATAACAAGCTGAAAATACAGCATGGTGACAACGAGACATTAGCAAGCTGCTCAGCATTTATGCCTCGGACAATTGCCACCCTCCATTCTCACTGCTACCATTTCAGCAGCAATGCCCACATATCGGTGCAGGAATGCGCTTGGATGAATGTCTGACCTCTGGAGCACCTCTTTCATAAATCGCAAAGTAACTCCCCCTTCTACTCCAAGGAAAGTTTTGGGACTACAAAGCACCTCACAAAAGAACAGGAGGTAAAGCCCCGACTTAGTCCAAAGTGTGTAGTTGTTACCAGCAGCGTAGATCAATGCAAATGAAACGGGGCAGCCCTGAACAGGGTATACATCCTATCAGTTAAGAAATCTGGGCCGGAATAAACACTCCCCACCCCACAAGACCGACGAAAGCAACATACAGATGGAGAAGAAACCTGGGGGGGGGGGGAAATCTAGTGAGATTTATTCTGGAGGGTGCATAGTAACGTAGCCAAGGAGTTTCAGAAAGAAGGAAAGCAAAACAGGGACACTGACAATTCTCTGCTGTTCTCTCTCCACCCACTTCCTATTTTTAGCTCTCTAGAGAATATGCCATATTTTGGGGGGTTTGAATTCTTTTTTGGGGGGATGCATCTTACTGTTGTACTCAGTATTCTGTTTCTTTATCATTTTATTTATTTTTAAATCTGCTTCCTGTCCATCTCGCCCGTTCTGATTGAAATGGGTCTAAGGCGAACATTTGAGATATTCCAGCTAATTTGGTTTGGAAATTAGTCAAGCTCCTTCCCCCTGCCGCCATGGGAAGTACTATGCTTTATTTTGGGATTTTTTTTTTAAAGTGATTGATTGATTGTTTAATGTATTTGATTTATGTCTTCCCTTTCCATCCAAGTAGGATGATCAAATTAACAGCCTAATAAATTAAAAGCAACATAAGTTATTAACATGCATACATACAAATAGGATGATCAAATTAAAAGCAACACAAATTATTAACATGCAACATGCATAAAATAGTTTAACAAAATCCTTTAAAAAGTTCAGAATATCAGGCTGAAAGTGCTAAATTTAAAGCCACTTGGAACCCCAGAAATTCCCTTCTCCTCATGCAGTCTGTTAAAAGCTTCTGGCAGGCCATATTAAATAATTAAGGCTTACTCAATGTCAATCTCATTCAGAAAAAAATAATAATTACAAAGTAGTAAATAAAATAATGGAAGAAAGGAAGCTACAGGAAGAGAGGAATTGATCAGTAATCCAACTGCATGAATTTGTCAATGCTATAAAGAGGCTCTTAACTGAGGCGCAACTGACACAGCACTTCTGATGATTCCTATTATTGTCTTCCCAACTGAGGAAAAGATATGATGTCTTTCATAAGCAAAATGAAGATTTCTCACAACAGAACTAAAAAAAGTGATTATGACCATTTTTCACACTTATGACTGTTGCAGTCATGTGATCAGTCATTTGGTCATGTGATCAAAATTTGGATGCTTGGCAACTGGCATGTATTTATGACAGTTACAGTGTCCCAGGGTCACGTCATCACCTTTGGCAACCTTTTGACAAGCAAAGTCAATGAGGAAGCCAGATTTACTTAACAACCATGTCACTAATTTAACGGCAGTGATTCACTTAACAACTGTGGCAAGAAACTGTGGCAAACTCACTTAACAACTATCTTGCTTAACAATGTAAATTTTGGGCTCAATTGTGGTCATAAGTCAAGTCACTGGTATTTCAGCAACCTAAAATCAGTTTTACTTTCCTTTTATTACCTCAAACATATTCCTTTGCTATCATATTTTTAAATTGCTATATATGCCATGAAAAATAGAAACAGACAAGATATTTCTTTGCTCCTGCACAATGGGACTGTTATGCATTGAGAATGCCTACATTAAATGAGAAATGATACAAATTTCCATATCTCCTGTTACTATAAAGACAAATCAAATGAAACCAAAACAAAAGCACAATGTAGAGCAGCAGTTCTCAGGGATACAGTAAAGTAGAAATGATGAAGAGAACCACACTGCCTCCTTGTGAAAAAAAAAGAAAAGGCAACATTTAAAAACATTTTTTTCACTTGAATACCTACTGCAACCTCACTTTCTCTGCTAGGCTAAGTTGGGAGCAATGCCAAACCAAACAGATGGCTGTCTGGTCTAACCATCTGCAAGAATATGCAGTTTACTAAAGAATGCAGTACTACAACTAGAAAGAGAGAGAGAGAGAGAGGCATTGTCCTGATACTTAGGGAAGAAAAACTGAAGGCAACTACATGAAGACAAAATCTGGATTCATGCAACCTTTGAATAATGCAACAGAGCGAAATGTGGCGTAGCGTGTGTGAGCTCAGTCCTCAGGAAGAGTAGTAGTTGTTGCCCCTAAGTATTTAGATGCTGTGTGGGGAGAAGATTCTCCATTGTTGGTTCTCCAGAAAACCCTTTCTAGATCCCACACCAAGTGTCAGTTCAAGGCCTATATAAAAAACTATGAAAAGATAAAAAACAGCCCTGCCTTAAAATTAAAAGGTGGCCAGTTGTCATGTAAAGGTGATAAGCCAGTCAAACTGAGCTGAGTTATCATAACCATCAAAGGTCAGAGATGAATTCAGAAGGACAGAGACAGCACAGTCCCATCCAGCACAATGGAATCATTATTTCCTTGTATGTTTATCAAGTTTTCAAAAAGCAAATTTCTTGTGTGAATTAAACTCCAATTTAACCAACTTCCTTCAATTTAACATAGACATCAGGCTTTGAATTACAACTTTCTTGAGTTTTAATAAAGAACAAAAAAAGAAATATAGCATTAGCATATTCTCTGGAAAGTATATATCACGTTCCTGTGAATGAAAAGTTTGTCAAATGGCATGATCACATGAGAAATCGATTTGCATTTGGACAAACTTCACTCACATAATCGCTTTCATCCTTTCATGAAATTGAGTAGGGACGGAATCTGGATGAGGCAGGGCTTATATAGTTCATCTCCTCATTTTAATTGTCTATGCACGCAGACTGGTTACACAGGCTTTATTTGCAACTGTTTTAGACTTACTAGCTGTTTCACTATACTGAGCAACTGGGCTTGATGAAAAAATACAGGGTGATTCTTGATTTAGGACCACAATTGGGACTGGGATTTCAGTTGCTAGCAATGTAGGTTGTTAAACAAGTCATCACGTGACCAGGCCTGATTTTATGACCATTTTTACCATAGTCGTTTTTTCTATGGGACCATCCACTTTATCATCCACAAACAAACTTGTGTATAAACATCACACGAAACTAAAATAAAAGTAGTTTTATCTATCTGGCAAAGAGGTTTTCACTGTCTAGTTCAGGGTGTCAAACTCAAGGCCCGTGGGCTGCATCTGGCCCATGATCTGGTCAGATCTGGCCCATAGGGCTGTCTTGATCTACCCAATGCAAAGAAGAAAGATTGGGCTAGCGTGGCTTTGACCCGGTCTACTCAATGTGAAGAGGAAAGATCAGGCCAGCATGGCTTCAGCCCAGTCTACCCAATGCGAAGAGGAAACATGCCAGCAGTTTGGGAATGGCATCAAGCTGGCCATGCCCACCCAGTTGGCCATACACACTCAGTCGGCTACGCCCGCTGGCCCGAGGTCAACCACAGCCCTGGTGTGGCCCTCAATGAAATTTAGTTTGACACCCCTGATCTAGTTCCATACATGACATTAAACCACAGCTAATGAGGACCCAGATTGTTGGGGCAATATGCTGACACTGTAAACCGCTTAGAGAGGGCTGTAAAGCACTATGAAGCGGCATATAAGTCGAAGTGCTATTGCCATGTGGTGAGAGCTGTGGTGATGCAGTGGTTAGAATGCAGTATTTCAGGCTAATTCTGCCCACTATCAGGAGTTTGATCCTGACTGGCTCAAGGTTGAATCAGCCTTCCATCCTGTCAAGGTCAGTAAAATGAGGACCCAGATTGTTGGGAGCAATATGCTGACTCTGGAAACTGCTTAGAGAGGCCTGTCACTGTGAAACAGTGTATAAGACTCAGTGCTATTGCTATGTATTTTTATTAGGCTAATTTGAGATTTACTAAACAATTCGGAAGAATATTTCATCTGAGAAAAAGTACTTGTGTGCAGAAATTCAAGTTAGGTCCAGTCTGTGACAGAGGTGGGATTTGGTTCCAGCAAAATTCTCCCAAAATATGCTGAGGAGTAGAAACAAACAAACAATAATTGGTTCTGTAGAATTTAGTAGGTACAAAAAAAAATAATAATCTGGAAAAAACTGTATTTTTTTATCTTAAGAAGGGCTCCAAATTTCCTGTAAAAATTCCCTTAAAACGTATCCTTTAAATCTCGCTGCACAGTTCTTTCCCCCTCACTTTAATTAAAAGAAAAAAGAAAAGAAACCCCAGAGTTTAAGTGCCAAATATTAGCTGGTCCTTGAGCTCCACTGATCCGTGTTTCTATTTAAACTCGCATAAGCTTCTACAGAACTTCAGAAGATTATGCAGCAGGGGGCATTAATGCTTTGTCAGACTTTTTTTGCAGACAATGCTGTTTGAAGAATGTCGTGCATTTTTTCTCTCCATCAAAATCATTTAATATCCCAAAGAAGGCTAGACTTTCATTTAATTTTCTCACAGTGGTTAATCTGACTCTTGTGCATGGCAAATGAGAGATTCCTAGACTATGCCCTTTTCTGTTAAAAATGGAAGATTAAAAGTGACATTTGGAAGTAGAAGCAAAGGGAGCCTAATTGTTCAATCCTATGTATGTCAACTTACAACCAGGTTTCATGGGGTTGTTTCTTATTTCTAGGGAGTGTTTACAGAGTTACCATTCAAACCAGTGCATGCTATGAATAAAAAGTTGAAAGCTACTGAGTTTTACCATACAAGGGGAATTATTTTGCCTCTACACACCCTTCTTTATCGAACACCAGTGACAGCAAACCAGAGATGACTATGGTACATGATTATGATTTCTTCCTCCTTCTATTTCTATAATCATATCCTTG